TAAACATAATTCAGTCCTCTAATAAAAAAAATGCTAAAAATTGCCATTAAATGACTCTCTCAGAATGTGACAGTGAAATTATTCAGGGTTTTATACTTTCAAAACATCATCCTGACATTTGTCCATAGTCAGCTCCTATGGAGCTTTTCAGACAGAGAATTACACCATGGAGTTAGTGATAGACACTGTATGGGTAAGGCAGTAAGGATGTGGAGATCATATGAGGAGAAATTATTCCTATTGAAAGCCCTAAATAGCTCAAGTCCACAGAAGTTTAGAGACACAAATTAAGGGTATTTCCATATAGCACTAACTGAGCACTCAAAGTGGCATTCAGGGATGTGTGAGTTATATAGATCCTCACATCTTCCAGTGGAAGCAGAGAGAACATGGTAAGGCAGGGGCATATTTATTGGTAGAAGCAGGTTTCAAAATGGAAAAGAAAGGAAAGGCTGTAGTTTTGTTTGCTTTCTTAGACCTTTCTTATGACCAAATGTAAAATATTCCCTTTATTTTGTAGAATTCCTCTCTAATGAAGCACAATCAAAAATTGACTAATTTTAAGTACTTTTTTTGATGATAACAAGTCACTTTGGATACCCAAGATGTAAAAACGTGTAAAATATTTCTACCAGAACTTAAGATACTGAGTGACAGGGAAACAATGAAAACAATAAATTGACCTGGATAATCACAAAGCAATGCATATGAGAAAAGTCATGTTACACTGTATGTACAAATATAATGATGGGTTTCAAGTTAACATTTCTGAGATGTGGAAGTGAAATATTTCCATGAAAACATAAATTCATTGTTCAGCTCTAACTAAAGTGAATGTTACTAGAAAAGAAATATCACACAGATTGGAAATATTTAATTTATGTACTATTTAGACAGCGAGTTCTAAGGGAGGCTAATGGCATAAATGGCATATTGCAGAGTGCATGACCCTCAGTGAATATTTCAAATAAAGAAAGATAACAGTTTTGTTTGTAGTAAATGAGTAAGTAATTATTCCTTGAGCTTATTGCTTCATTCATAAAATGCAAAATTTACCATATTCAATGTAAAGATGGACAGCAATTTCAATGACAAGACTATTCCTTTTTCGAAGAAATATCTTTAATAAGAGGGAACAAATGTTTTCTGATACTGCAAGTAAGAAAATGAATCAACTGCTAAAGCAAGGAGTAGAATTATTGCACTTTCATAAATTACAGGGGTGATAAGGACAAATGAGCACCAAAGATAAATTAATTATACTCATTATATTGTGCAGTGTAAATTACATTAATAACACTCTACATGGACAGTAAAGGTATGCTGGTATATGCTGGTATAATGGTTTATATTTGATTTTATATTTTTTAAATACCTGTCTGTGAGCAGATGATAAGGCTTTCATATTTGTAGAGAGAGCAAGGAGGTAAGACTGGGTGGAAAGTTCAGCTGTTGTATGATTGATGGAGGAGGAAAGAAATTAAATGTAGACCAGCATCAAATTTTAGCCTAGGCAATTCAAACTCATACTCCAGAGTATTAAGTGCTGCCTACCCTCACTCTTTTTATTTGTACCTCTCTTTTGCTTCTCTATAGCAATCTTTCCCAGCTCAGGCCCAGTGTGGGTAGCCCTTGATACTGGGATGGTGAGCAGTGGGATGTATTTCAGGCAGATACTTTCTTTCCCAGCATGGCAGCTATTCATCCTGGACTTCTGCACCCATCAGTTGTTGCAGCTCAGAGTGCCATTCCAAACCATCTTGTGCTGAATAGCTCTGACAGGTCTATAAGCAGCATCTCTATTTCTGCTGACCAGTGCAAACTACTGACCCAGGTGAAAAAGAGATCTCATGTAGGACAAGGAGGATCAGATGGGATGAAAAGAATGTCTGTGAGGTGCTGGTTTCATTGGCCATGTTGAAATAATTAGGATTTCTACATCTCCTATGCCTAGTGTATTTATCTATCTAATGTCTCAACTTTACCCATTTCCTCCTGTAGCTGAAAACCAACATGGCCATTAATAAAATCTTTTATATATAATTTGAACATATATTCATTTTGTTGTTTTACATCTCAGTTGTTGTCCCAACACTTTTGCTGGTCTTCACAATTGATGTCCAAGGTGAATCTTGCAGTTAATCTTTCCCACATTTTTGCTTATTCTCATTTTTGGTGTCTTCCATGGTATAATTTTCTTTTTAAAACTAATGTTTCATTCCATGCTAAAATTCCAGGTTCTGACACTTACAAGGTGTTCATACCATCAACTTATTTCCTGCGTGGAAAATATTGGGTTCCTATATGCAGTGTTGGGTTCTTCTAAATTTTTTTTTTAAAGCCCCTCTACAATGAGAGATCTCATAACAGGAAGAGTTCCTTATAAAACTCTTCTTGGCCGTCTTGCTCTCTGCTGTCAAATCTCCAAGTGATGCGTTTAGACAGCTGACACGGGAGTCATTTTCCACCTCACTGATCAACAAAGTTCATCCTTTTCATGTGCACTTTCCTCACACTGTTTTACTCTGTGGCTTTAACCTGTCTGAGACGAGAATAAAGTCTCTGTCCTGCATTTGAATAGCACTCAAAGCACAGACTAGGAAAACTTTCACAGTGTTGTGATAAAAAATTAAGATGGTCTTAGCAATAAAGACAAAAAATTGAACTTTGGGTTGTAGTCTACATTCACACAAATCCAGGTTAAATTGTTGTTTGCCTTATGTTGTTTGCCTTCTCTCTGCAGTATGCCAGACCAACAACAGCATTTGTTGACAGTGGTTTTCTTTAGTAATTCAGAAGTTTTTTGAAAAAGGTGAACAAAGAACTTTCAGCAGAGTGAAAAACTGGGATGAGGCATTACTGTAGATTCTGCTCTGTCTCTATCCAATATTCTCCACCAGGACAGAAATTAGACAAAAATTTTGAGCATACAAGGACAACATGATAATGGCAAAAGCCATAATCAGAAGTATTTCTGAAGCCAAAATATATTTTGATTCAATTGCATGAGAAAAAAATGAAATAAAATCCGGAAGAGAAAATGGCCATGTGAAAATGTGACAAAACTACAGTTTACTTGAGTGTATCATATCCTCTCAGCTTCTATGGCATTTGGTTCTTTACTGTGTTTCCAAAAACCATCCTCTAGACCTGATTCCTGAAATGTAGGACCATTAAGATATCTTAAAACTTATGTGTCAGGTTAAACAGGAAAGTGACTCTGTTATACTACTTCATGATTTTTCTGCTACTAACTTTAGCATCCCTGCATCTAAAAATCACGATGGAGTATAGTGACAAACACGTGTAGAGGGGTGGTTTAAAAAAGTTGGGTGCATTTCCAGCTACTTAGAGCATGCTGTGCATCAAAAAGGAGCCAAACAGAAAGAAGGGATCCATGCCACAAATGTCTCAAAGAATAATTTGTTTCCAGAAAAAAAAAAAAAAAAAAAAATCTAAGCCATTTGATTTCTGGTAAAGAAGAACTATGGGGGTTTGTCCCTTTAATAATTGCATGATTTCTTTTTTTCCTTCATAAATATTTTAACTTGTCATACTAATCTCTGTTTTGCATCTTTGCAACATCTGTGGATCTTCTCTAAGATACGGACTTGATCACTTTTCAATGCAATAGAAATAATTTTTGTTTTTTCAAATGTGAAGCTCTTTATTTAGCACATTAGATTTGAGTTTAAAAATTTTATTAAACAACCCAAATTAGGTCTTCTCATTGGAATTTAGATAGTGCAAGAAGTAATTTTCAGAAAAAAAAAATCACAAATACTTGAATTCTTTTCAGTCCCTTGAAGAAATAAACAAGAAAATGTTTTTAGACTGAGAAGCTAGCAAACCAGAGTGGAAAAATCAGTGAGACTAATGACAAATGCTTTTCTTGGAGTCTGATTGCGTGCTCTGAGCCTCATCCTCTCTCCTCTGCTGAAGTGTTTTGGCCAATAATATTTCTGTGAAGTATGTGGCTCACAGAGATCTAAAGATATCCTTCTCACCATTCAATTCAAACCACTGATTATTGCTTTCAACATGGATTAAAAGGAGACTTGAAAACTTTGCTCTTACCAAAAGAACATGATTGCAGAAAGTTAGAAAAGCAATCCAGTTAACCACAAATACAGAGTACAGGACAACCTCCTAGCTAAGCCTATAGATGAAGTAAGTACTTCTAAAAGCTGTGGGTTGGACTGCTGAGAGCATCAGAGGACACTGCGTATCTTTGGCACAGTAATACACTGAACATATCAAAAGAAGGAAGAAAACCCCTTTGGATACAAGGCAGCTCTTTGCTATTTGATGAGGAAGCCCAGGGCAAAGTTTTCCTGCTATTCTCTAGTGGGAAAAGTGCTGGGCATAGAAGCAAAGGGGCCCATAAAGTCCACATTGAGGGAAAGGTTAGAGATAATATTTAATCTGAAGGGATTATCTCAAATGGAAATTAATCTCAGGAATTGTGATTTGAATATAGTAATCAATGTGTGTTGTCAATTACTCTCTGTCTGACTGTAAAACCCTCCTGGATACTAGGTTCTTTGTAAAGCAATCACATGAACTTTCAATAAAAGAGATGAGATAGCAAATGGATAGAAAATGTTACCAATACAATTTGATTTGAAATAAAAAATATATAGCAGTTGTGCCCTGGAGTCTTCCCAAATATTTAAGACTGATATATCACCAGCCAAATTTACACATGCATTGGATTGATGGTATTATGCATTAAAGCACTTTTTCTCCTGTTAGACTTTTTTATTATCCTCTTTGCATACTTGCAGATGTTTTCTGTTGTTCACACTATGGACATGATGCATTTTTGTTCACACCTTATTCAGCTGAAGAATAAATGGCTGAATAAAATTTACCTCATGAAAATGAAATGCTGTAAAATACTAAACCCACAAGTTTGAAGTTCTCAATGGAAGATTATTTCAAGTTCACCAGTAGATTAAATATACATATTAAGTAAGTGACCTCTTAATAAACTTAAATAACCCCTCCTGTAAAATAGTTTATTTTTATGTTCTTTATTCCACCAAAACTGCATTGCAGTTTTCCAGTCTTTATATTTACATTATTTGCAATTCTTTCCATAAGTGCCGGTACAAATGTAACTGATGAAAATCCAGAATAGTCATACAAATGTTCCTGAAAGCAAGGTGCATTTCTGAGCAAACTTTTTCTGATGCACAATAATACATATGTATATATTAACAAAGCTTCATAATATAAAATATCTTCCATGGCAAGTAAAACTTCTCCACTTACAGCTTATTCAGATTTCAGTTACACAGACTTCCGCATTTCAAGTTAGTGCAAATAATGAGAGTAAGAGCCTGAGCAGAACGATGTAAATACAACGGAACAAGAGAAACAGCAAAATTTTACCAACTCCCTGCATACAGTTATAACATTTAATCAGTATATCATTAGTATTCTTCATATACAATGTATTTAAATAATTGGCTTGTCTGAACTATAGGCAACAAATTTACAAAATAAAATAATGTTTCACACAAATATGGAATGTCGGACAAATATATGAAAATAAAACGCATCTAGTAACAAAACATTGTAAATCAAAAAGATAAAAGATGTCTTCTCCATTTTTGAAGATTTCAAGGCACTTTCTTGGCAAATCAGAATTCTCTCCTTGGTAGAAAGTCTGCAAGAGAAAAGGACATGCTATTTTATAACTAGTTTCAAACCAGAGAAGCAGACTGCTTAGCAAAATTCTGCTCATAAATCACAGTTTCCTGCAGATTGCATAAATCATAAGATTAACTTCAAGTGCCAGTGGGTCTTGCCCTCCTGTGAGCACTAATGAGTTTTGCTATGGCAAATCCTCAGCGTCGGTGCCAAGAGGTTTAACACGCAGAGGTCTGCACTGCTGCACCTTGCAGGGAAGTTCCCCTTGCACATAGCCACGTGCAGTTCTACATTCTGGGTTTCATCAAATCCTTTATTTCCATTTGCAGGGATCTGACTCAGGAAATGAAAATAATCCCACCCAAACCCCTAAGAGCCGTAAGGGCAGGATGTGCCCGGTATCCCTGCCAGGAGCCACCCCAGCGGCTGCCCGGGGTGCGGCGTCTCTCCATGGTGCTGAAGCGTCCCGCCACGGCTTGAGCAGATCCCGCGGGCAGACGGCTGGCTTGCCCCAAGAAAAAGTTCATTTCGAGGAGGGAAAGACCACGTCTTCTTTGTATAGCCGGATATTTACAGATGAGGAAGGAAAATATTTGCATAATAGCACCGCACCTCTTTTTTTTTTAATGAGGAAAAGACAGCCTATTTTAGTACTGGCAGGAAAAGGCTTAAAAAGAGCTTTCAGTTCTCCAAGTGAGAGAGCCTCCTTCTTCAAGGCAACCAAGAATCTCCAAGACTCTGTCAGATGTTAAAGTGAAGGAAAGTTTTCTTACAGGCAACAAGATCTATGGCCATGTCCTCTCTACACTAGTGTGAGGTGTAGGAAAACAGATCCCTTGTGCCAAAAGACGAAGAAGAAGGAATCAGAGAATCACGTCAGAAATGCAATGACATTCAGGGATGAATGTATGTAACGCCTTTGTTGCACTCCCAATTGACAGGAAAGAGAAAGAAACGCCACTCTTCACCCTTCTCAAGAAAATGTTTCTATTCCAAGAATCAGTGGATATGACTTAATATGAAAATTTGAGGATGTTTGATGGAAACTGTCCACTGTACTTAATGGAGGAATGGAGTGAGGGAGCACAGAGACAGCTGGGAAACTCTCAGATCATGGATTTACTTTTTCGTATAATTTTTTCTCTTTTCTTAACAAAGTAGAGAGAAACCCAGCCTAGATACAACTTTAAGTGAATGCAGTGCACACGAGCTGCTAGCAATGGTTACCATTTAAAACCTTTCTTCCCTATTTTTCATGTCTTCCAATGTATTTTTGGCAGGCAAATTAAAACACCTGGCTTTGCAAATCATAGCAACTTTTGATCCTTTTGTGTTTTAAAGATGGAAATAGACTGAGATAGATGCTTCTGTACTGTGGATATGTAGGCAGATCTTTGACTCATTCTCTTAAAAGAAAAAGAAACAAAATTTGGAACACCAGAAATCTCCCTGAATGCTCTGATACATGAATCCAGAGATGTTAATGGATACAGATAAAGGAAAAACAAAGACAAAAAAGGTAAAACTGCAGAAAGTAAGAGAGTGGGATGATTGTGAAAGCCGAGATTTAAAAGAAAATATTAAAAAGCAAACAGGAATTTAAGAACCCCCTCCTTTTTTTTTTTTAATTTGGGCATTCAGAAAAGGGTTCCTGACTTGAGTCATGAAAAGGAGATGCAAGCAAAGTAATGAGATGCCTGATCAGTCTCTGGTTTGCTATCCTTGGTATATCCAAAACTATCTGCAACACCTGGAAATCAAGAGGCCAAAGGGACTGAAAATTGTTAAGAAGAAAGGAAGAGGAAGAAAGGAAGAGAAAGAAATTATGTCATTTCTTCTCATAACTGAAATATTGTCATATCCTTTAAAGCACAGCAACCAAAATGAATCCCACCTCCACGGAGAAATCAAATCAGCTAACACTGACTCATATCCTACTCTTTTCTTATTTTTGATTAGTATGAATTGAAGCCTTGATGCAGGAAGAAGTGACATACACAATTCCCCCAAGCTCCAAGCTTGCAGTATTTGTCAGGAGAAGGTGGTGAAAGGAAACCATCTTTAAAGGAATTTAAATAATTAAAATTCACTGAAACTATGCATTTTAGTGATTAATAATAACAACCGGTGTGTGTATTTACAATCAGTCTTGAAATATAACCATCTTATTATTATTCAAACAACAGGGGAAAACAGCTCACTTGGAGATATTACTTTTATCAGTGACAATACTGTGTAATTAACATTTGACATGCTATTCATAAATAAGAATGGATTGATTTCTTCCTCAGACTACTTAGTGAAACCTTTAGCTTTCCACATCTTTATGTTCAGTTTCCTTCCATCATCATGAAGTGGTTATTAAATTCTCAGAAGACAATATGGGAATGAAAAGGAGTCTCAGAAATTAATTGAGAGGTGATCTATGAAGATTGCATTGGTAAACCTGAGACCAAGACATTCTGTTTCTTCCATGGATTAACAACAAAGTCCTCTGCAGAATGGCCTGAAATAAATGTGCTGATGATGCCCTTGGGCATTTTTCTTTCACCAAGCAGACTCCTTCATGAAGTTTTGAACAGCAAGAGGCCACCCACTGCATAATTATGGACTGCAGTGCCACAAGTGACTTGTAGGAAATTACAGTGGGGCTTGTCAGAGGTAATTGTGCTTCTGCGTATCTCCAGGAGGAGCCAGTCAGTTCTGAAATGCCAAAGCTGCATGTTGATACACTCTGATAATACCATATTTTTGTATGCACACCTGATAACAAGGTACAAGTGTGAAGTAAACCACTAGACCATTCAACAAATACGAAAATGAGTGGGGAAAATGATACTTACATAGCAAACATCCTAGGACTGTGTACACAAAGGGCTCATTGCTAATCTTGTTAGCAATCTTGCACACCTTTTGTAATCTATAAAACAGAATTACCCACAGCAATAATGAATCTCAGTTGCCAGATATCCTTAAAAAAACTGCATAAAATTAAATGTAAAGTTTGTACTTGAATTTCAGACACTCTACACAGTGAAACTGTTATCTGATGGAAATTCATAAAATTATGTGTGCAAGATGCAATATTAGATTGTACCTTAGCATAATCAGTGCTCTAGAGGAAAAGTACAAGTGATGGAAGGAACTAAATTTCTACCAGGAAGTTTCCTACTGGGATGTGGAAGACCAGAAATTTAACTCATTAAATGGGAGGCTATTCCAACTATCAATATAACATAGTCAGAAGTCAGAACTAAATTTCTACCAGGAAGTTTCCTACTGGGATGTGGAAGACCAGAAATTTAACTCATTAAATGGGAGGCTATTCCAATTATCACAATAACATAGTCAGAAGTCAGGCTGTTTAAAACATTTTATGGTTCCATTTAGTATTGATATTTAATTTCATATTTTTCACATTTAAGTAAAATTCTTAATCATCAGGTTGAAGATACTAATCTCCCACTTCAAATCCCCCTGTTGTGTGCCCTTGATTCAAATGACCACTTGGTTCAAGTGAACACTGAGTCACTGCCATCCTTTCTGATATTTGCTAACAAGAAATTCATAGGTGCTAATTTCTTCTCTTGATTGATAAGTATTTGAATAAAACAGTATAAATTGTGCCAAACAGTTAGAAAGCTATTTCTACCTGGGTTTCAGTTCCTCAGAAAATATTTGTACAGTGTATAACCATGTCAGAAGAAGAGGAAATAACTCATCCTCAGACATGATGACTAAGGTGTCCCTGACAGAAAACATCAAACCCCTCTAAAGACACAGGGAATGATCTTGGCTATGATCAGCCTGAGCAATCAAAAAGGTAGAGATAAATCTGAAGATCTGGCTTTTGCTTTTAGAACAGAACATTTCAGGTGAATGTAACTCATTGTCTGCTTTGGGTTTGCTTGATGCAAGGGGGAACAAAACTCTGCTGTGGTTTAAATCACCCTCTTTATTTTACAATTTACTTTGATAGTTGAACTAAAAAAATAAGTTTTTCACACCATTCAAATTCACAGTCTTCTTTTTAACGCTAAGAAAAGCTATTTAATTAGAAGGAAAATATTACTGTGTCTCTATAGAAATAAAGTGAAACACTCAGGCAGTACGAGTCTAAATAATATTCACATGCTCTGGATCCATGTGCCAAGGAATACAACATGCAACATGGCATTTTTGTTGCACAGCATGTAATAGAAATATGCCTTGCTTACTCCTGTGTCTACTTAGAAAGCTGAATGTATATCTTATGAGGATCAGCCATGGATTCCTACATTCCAGCTTCTGATAAGCATAAAAGCAAATGGAGATGAGGGCTGCTCCATCTCCCTTCAAACACTAAATCCTCTGATGCGCTGAGCTATGGTGAGAGAGCATCTCAGCTGCTCACAAACAGTGCTTCTAAGTGATGCAGTCAGAAAGTGCCATTGTTTTTTCATGTTAAACTCTGAAAAGCTTCCAAAGCACCAAACTCTGCCCACAGTTTGTGCTTACACATCCATAATGAGATTCACCTTCTCTAATTAAAACGCATTGCTTATTTTCTACTGACTTTAATTGAATTGTCCATTGCACTAGAGAATGCTGAAGTAACTTCTATTTAAAGAATTTCCATTTTGGTTTTAGGTTTTTGTTTGCATTTTTATCCACTTTATCCAAGAAAACGTCTATTTTTCAGTGTCTCTGACAAAACTATATTCAGGCTGTGTTAAAGCAAAGCTTCTGCAGTCTCAGAGAAGAAGGTTGTTTGAAGAGAACTGAAAGTATCAATAACAGAATGATGAATCAAATTATTTTATGTTGTTTAACAATGGGCTTGTAATAGAAAATTATACTCACAAGCTGAAATATACTAAACCCCAAAGATACAATTCTACAATTAAGCATTAAGAGAAGGTAAAGAATGGTTCACATTTCATCTTGCATAAGGAAAGCTAAAGAGAGCAAGAAGGAGAATATTTGCCCTCTGCATAAGCATGCCCTACTGATTTTTCTCAGTGTAGTTTTCATTTCATTTATTTCAGTATCACTTTGAAGGAACTCCATGATGCGCAGCTGACAGCAAGTGCATTAATAGAAAATCTTTATATATTAGAAGACCTTGTGTATGTTGTTTAATGTAGTGCTAACAGCTATTTAAAAAAGCACCAGGACATCAAACACTTAATAGAAAAACTGTGTTGCTTTCAAGCAAATATCACAGCTAGCATTAGAAGGTACTTTGCTACTTACAGGTTGGTGTTGAGCAGTCCCTTGTGTTGTGATACAGTCGATGAAAGTGCTTGCTACACTCTGAGGAAAATGTGACTGGCCCTGTTTGAAAGTAAGGAGGAGTTAACAAGAGTGTCACTGCTCTGCAGCTTCAATGAATGACAACAACACATAGCACTAAGTACATTTTTTCTTGGCTCAAATTGCATTTAGTCTTTTATTAAACCTTAAAAAACTATGATGCAACACAAGTATAATAATGCTAGAGAAATAACAGAAAAAAATTCTGTTGCTGTGCCTTTATGCTCATAATAAAAAAAAAAAAAAAGAAAAATTACACATTAAAATGAGAGGTTGGTTTGGCCTTCAAATTCCAGTAATTCAAAATTAGCAGTAAAATTTCTTATATGGTGGAAAATAGAATTTCATAGAATTTTATTTGTTCAGTAGTTGTCTGCAGTTTAATGTAGCAGGAGTAATGCACCTGGACTGAGGATGCTATTTGTAAAGACAAAAGCAACATTTAAAGAAAATATGAGTTTCTAACCCCTGGAAAGATGAAGTACTTTAATGTACTAATGCTTTTAATTTGCACATAGATGGTTTATGAAATTCTTAATATACAGTGTGGGTGTTGAGGGGAAAAAAATGACAGCTGAATAACATCTAGGAACCTGATCTCCTGATAAAATAACCCTAGTAAAAAAGCATACAATGTGCAGAATGCAGGGTGTGTTCCATCTTTGGCAAGGCAAATCCCTGCATGTCCAGGGTGCGGTGTGCTGCTCTCTTCTTTGGAATACAGTGCCATTGGTTTACACTCATATTTGATAAAAAGGTCTCCCTGCTTATGGCCAGGGGGTTGGAACTAGGTGATCATTAAGGTTCCTTACAATCCAGACCATTCTATGGTTCTATTTTTCTATAAAACATGGCTCAACTGTAAGAAGTCGCCAAAGACACTTCCAAAATTGCTGATGGCCCCAGGAAAGTATTACTGGTGACATTCAAGTTGAAAAGGAGAGCAAAAATACAGTATTTGCATCCCATAACCTGTTTAGCAGGACTGTCACTGACATCTGGGTATGAGTATCCTGTGGTTTGGACATAAAACATTGACATATACTGATGTTAAGTGAATAAGACTAAATTTAAATCTAAATTTAGTACAAGTAGGAACCCTGAATAAGAATAGCTTGCTTCAAGAAATGCTACAAAATTATTCACATGAAGCAGACTTTGTTGGCCAACTTTCAGAGGAAGCTAGGAAGCATTTCTGGAAAAAAAAAAAAAACTTGTTTCATAACTTTAAAGATAGTTTATGGGTCTGGTAAAATATATCAAGCTAATTCCCTCTGGATAGTGAAGCCAAACTGCCATGAGCTCCAGAGAAGATTCCTCTCTATGACAGTGAACATACTTGAAGATTAGATTTATTTTACAGTAGTACATGGTTTTCAGTAGATTTTTTTCAGCCACAAATAAGATTTTCAACAAACTGGAAGAGCAGCCTTTGCAAGTCTGAACTGGAATATTGTTGCCATATTTTTTTATCTGAGTGAGTAATTAAGCTCAAGGAAAACTATGTAATTTGAAATTATCAAGCATATATGGAGACAACACTGGCTTTTGTCACTAAATAAATTCCATGTCCCTTCAGATAATATATGATTTTTTAGCTCTCTTCCCTGTCGTCAAAAATAGGCTGTTAATTTTATTGTGCCTTACAAAACACTCTGTGTCAGCTGGCTTTCCAAGCTAAATTGATAGATTACTTTATGACTCACAAGATTATTTATGATTTTTCCTATAGTCAAGGACTGTTACATATGGTTTTTATTCAGCTTTAAAATGTGTCTGTTATTCCTGGCATATGAGAATTGTGCAATAATTTTCCTAACCCTGAAACTGTAAAGATAATATACTATAAAGATAATGTTGATTTCAGCTTCTCTCTTTTTTTTTCACAACTTCATTAGTTTAGGATGTCCTAATTCTGAACTAGTGAGGACTGTAATCATACAGTTTAATTAATGAAGGCTGCTAGAAGATTATGATTAGAACAGAATGACAAAACCCAAAGTTCCTCTGTATTTTAAGAAAATGTCTTTGATTACAGGATCTAGTAAAACTATGAAAAATAAAATCAAATATAAAATAAAAAATGCAGAAAGCTCCATCACTGAAGATCTTAAGATAGATTAAAAAAATAGTGAAAGAGAGGAAGAGAGAGAGAGAAAGAAGGAAGGGAAGGGAAGGGAAGGGAAGGGAAGGGAAGGGAAGGGAAGG